TCACTGTGTTAGGGGTTTAAGCGTTTTATCACAAGTGTTCAACGCTTTGTCAAATAAACAATCCTCTTTCAGATACTACTGTGTTTTGCAGTTTAAAAATAAACTTCAGTACATAGGATACAGTGCATGTGACTAGTTTATAAAGCCTGAAGACATACGGATCTACATAATGAAACTAGAATTCATGTCCAACTCTCACTGAATTAACAACAACATCTGTGACGAGATCAGCTTTCAACTTCTTATATCAAACGGTAAAGTATTCTGTTTAGGATTATCATCTTTATACTATCCATGATGAATGCGTATGATTTCCAAAATAGCCAAAGAAAAAAAATTTAAATTTGCCATGTGAGCTATTTCAAAAAACAGCTTGATTTCATTTCTCTAGAATTTCAGATTAATTTACACATCCTTAATTCAGTTCCGTGTAACCTAATATTAATGAAATTTCATTTGCTAAAGAAAAAAAACATTCCGAAAATATATTTCCTATGGAACAGAAAAACAGGAAAGATACTGTCCTAGAATCATATATATTGAGGTTGATTGGAAAAAAACACAACAATTTTTCAAGTATTGGTTTGTAGGGATTTGATTGATTGCTTACAGGATTTCATTATGAGCTGACATGGATTAGAGAACCATTGGAAAACCATCTGGGAGTACGGGACAGCTGCTTCGTCCCACCAGTTTAGGAGTCATCAGCAGTACGCATCCACCGCCAGAGTTCGAACCAAGGACCTTCTGGTTACAAGGCCAGCTAACTCGTAGACCGTTAAGCCAGTGGCGTACTGCTGAATAGTCCCAAACTGGGATGGAACAGCCGTCAAGCAGTACTCCCTGCAGGTTCTTCAATGGTTCTCTAACCAATGTCAGCTCATATTCAAATCCTGTAACCAAACAACAATTTTTATTTGTTTTGTTTTTCATTCTTTTGCATTTCGAGTGGACCATGGGGCTTCAAACATGAGCTTTTAAATTTCAGTAGCTGTGGTGTTTTTTTCAAGGAGTCAGGTTTTTAGCCTCTGTCCCTGCCGGGACTTACTTCCTTTTTAAGCGGGAACCAATCCCGGAGCACTGAGCCATCGACACGCAAAGAGGTAGAACTCAGGACCTTCAGCTTGAAAGGAGAGTTACTTCACCATCCTACCACTGGGACACTTTCATTTATTACTGTAGAAACAAACTGGTTTTTAAGTCGACCCTTGAAAGTGAGTAATAATAGTCAACAATAGAAAAGAGTAGAATAACAATGGGACTGTTTCTTTGAAGTCACAGACCCTAATTATTGTTGAGATTATGATTTTGAAAATCCAGGAAGACGTCATAAATAGAAATGAAAATATGTGAATACGTGTCGTTTAAATTTCGGGGAAGATTTCGTCACAAACCAAAACTTCTCAGAGAATAGCTGAAAACCAGGGAGTGGCTTAGAAATCTTCTGTTATAGCTTGAGGATAAACAGCGGTGCATATCTCTGGTCTTCGAACAAAGGCCTTCAAGTTAAGCATCAAATACACTGACTTTTCATTCATTGTTTCTGAGTTTAATGAGCTGTAAACTCTTAACCTCAAGATCTTGGATTCGACCCTTGTTAGGGTTATGAATGCTCAATGCTGAGGATCCCCAAACTGTACAGAGATTCTTGGTTTATTGTAATTCTGCAACTGACGTCAGTTGGTGACGAAATCTACAATGAAATTAATCAAAGTCTTTACAAACCCTGAATGTGAATATCGCTCGAATGTCAGAATGACTTAGGATTGGTACTCTTTGTGAAACTGAAATATATTTTAAATAGTTTTGAGCTTTATTGACCCATAGTTACGAAAATATCATTCAACGGAATGATTTCATACGCAATTAGTCAATTTCAGATCACTTTTTATTGCTGATTAATGTCAATAAAGAAGGAATAAGGCAGTGAATAGTTTTCACATCCTATTTGCTAACTGCTCAATTGTATGAATCGGATTGATTAGTTTAGCCGTACAATTAAGATTTTATCAAGCCAGTCAGTGACTGAAACTCATTGGTCCACATTTACTAGTTTGCATTACCCTGGCAAAAACTGTGGTACCAATGGAGACTCATTTTTACGTCTATTTTCTTTCTCCCCTGAATTCTCATAATTCTCTAAGATGGAAATTTGAGTGTCTCTGCAGTAATTGATGAAGGTTATCCATTATAATAAAGGTTTATTGTATTTCCCAATGAATGAAAAACAAAACGATGTGGTTTTTACTCACGTTTCACAATTTAATACTGATGATATCAGAAGAGTACTCAATAAGCACAACATCAGAGTTTTCTTCAAGGCATCAGACACACTACAAAGCAATCTTGTCCATATAAAAGACCAAATCCCTAAGGATTCTCTATCTAATTGTCTATAAAATAAACTGCTTGGAATGTGATACGATATACATTGGACAAACATCGCCAGAGAGAAATCTAAATCAGAAGAAATGAACACCGTAGAGCAGCCTCTGTTCGACCGCCGAGAAATCCAGTTAGTGAGCTAGAAAAGCTTGGAAAATCATCAACCATAGGTTGTCTACACGCTACTCTAAAGAATCAGGCCACAAAATTGATTTTGATAATATTGAAATAATCCAGAAAATTTTCAAAAATCGCAAAGAACGTCTAATATCAGAATTCAGCTCTTCATTTCAAGTGGAATCCAAATTGTCTGATGAATAGGAATAATGGACTTAAACAGAATTTAACCTGGTTACAACACCCTCCCACCCAATGAAATGACAAAATCAACACGAATGTGATAAACAATTTCATTATGTAAACATACACAGCTTTTATAATTTTATGCGCTTATCAAATCCAACAATCTAAACTTGATTTTGTTATGTTTACCAACTGGTCAACTTGACAACGCATAAATTACCCCATACTGATGAACGATGATGATTAAGTTGTTATGTATAAGCTGAGATAATGTAAATTCTGGTTGAATATTACTACTTTGCTAAAGCTATTAGCAGCAGCATTAAATAGAGAGACGTCAGTGAAAACAACAGTATCGTTTTGTTTTTCATTCATTGGGAAATACAAAAAATACCTTTATTATAATGAATATCAAATACCCAAAGCCCAAAATTTTTTCGAACTGTTAAAAGTGAACTTGGTTGGGACACATATACCTAGAGTCACTTTGTTGGGATTTTGTGTTTTTTAAGTTAGACCACTGACTGATATCAGTCAGAGAACCATTGAAAACAAACAAAGAGTACTGTCAGACAGCTGTTTCATACTAGTTTGGGACTCATCATCAGTACGCACTCGCCACAGTTCAAACCCAGGACCTCCCGGTTACAAGGCAAGTTCGTAGACCATTCAGCCACTGGGACCCGATTCAATAGCTCATGAAGTCTAACTTCTATGCTCACTAGTGACTTGATACAGGATGCAGCTTCCCGGATTTCTAGTTAGAAGTCGTAACCAGTGAGGTCCATCCAGTCAAGTGTGACGACGGATTTCCCACCGATGATATTGGGTGGTGGTCGCGCTAAATCACGAATTGGTAGAATTTATTCAGGAATCAGATCCCAGCGGCTGAATAGTACACGAGCTTACCTTGTAACCAGAAGATCCTAGGTTCAAACCCTGAAAGTGGGTTCGTACTGCCGATGATTCTCGAACTAGGATGAAACAGCTGTCCAGTACTCCCTGCTTGTTTTCAATGGTTCTCTAACTGATATCAATCCGTGATTGACTCGTAAAAACAAAACTAACCCTTACAAACCAAACTATAGAAAACAATATAAGCTACCGACAGGTAAATGATGGCTGACAGTGACGCCGGAAGAAAAATGAGTTCTAAACTTAATTCTAATAGTGATAAGGTGGACTGTGGTGTGTTTGATGTAGTCGGCGTCTGAGTGAAAAATAAGTTGCTCACACTGAGGAATGTGCATAAATCTACACTTCTCTTTCAACTGTCATCAAATGAATTCAAAAACAATTACTTTTAAATTCATTAACAGTTAAAAATATCAACTTTATGCATTTCGTATGCAATCCGAGTATAGTCATAATTAATTATCAAACAAGATGAACAATTATTGATTCGTAAAAAATGATGGTGACTGAAGCTGGGGGAAGAATACACCTGGAAGCTGGATTCAAATAGATACACGCCAGGTGACTGGATTGCAAGTGAAATTTTAAAACATTTACTCGATTAATGTCATAGCTCAGGCAATAGTTCACTTCTACAAAATGCAATTATGATCCAAAGATTTTACGAGTTGATCACGGATTGATATCAATTAGAGGGCCATTGAAAACAAGCAGGGAGTACGGACAGTTGTTTCATCCTAGTTTAGGAATCATTAGCAGTACGCATCCACAATAGGGGTTCGAACACAGGACCTTCCGGTTACAAGGCAAGCAATCTCGTATACCATTCAGCCACTGGGACCCGATTCAATGGTTCATGAATTCTAACTTCTAACAATTCGTCATTTAGCGCGACCCCAACCGGTAGGCCCTGGGTTCGAAAACTGGCAGTGTGTGCGTACTGCCGATGATTCCCAAATTAGGGTAAAACAGCTGTACAGCACTCCCCGCTTGTTTTCAATGGTTCTCTAACTGATATCAATCCATGATCAACTCGTAAAAAAACAAAACTAACCCTTACAAACCAAACTATAGGAAAGATCCAAAGTTTGTTTACATTCCAATGCTTATTCTCTAACTCTAAAATAGTTTGTCAAATCGGAGTATCAGGTGCTGAAAGCATGTGTATATAGGACCTGGTCACCAAAGATCACGTAAAATAATAATTCCTGCACACTGTCGGGGTATTCTCGTCAGAAGATCACTAAGAATGAAGATGACAACTGTCTAACATTTGATCAAGAACTTTTTTTGACAAAGACGGAAAGGTAAAACTGTCATCATTTAACATAAATACAAATTTATACACCCCAAAAAATAAATGACACAGGCGCACACACACATACACACACACTTACATGGTGAAATATCACGGTAACGATTCTTTATTGAATTTTCACTTAACCGAGACACATTCATAGTGAGACCAGATTTTCGTCTAGGCAAATGCTGTATACGCAGAAGGAAGAGAACAAAAATAATGAGTCAAAGTATTAATTTATTGAATAACATGTTGAAATTTACAGAACTCTTTTCTCTACTAACCCTTCTTGTAATCCACCCATCTTCTATCGTCCTTCAAAGTAATCTACAGAGTCAAAAGCAACCTATCAAAGGCAATACGGTTTCGCCTTCTTTGTAGCGCTGAAGCTCTGGCCATTCACATAGAAAAACCGGAGCTGTGCATACAAAAGAGGATTACTCAACCACTTCTACTGTCTTGGTAACAACTTTTTTGATTTGATTTTTTTGATGACTTAATTTTGTTTCTTTGCCTGTTCTTTAATTGCTTATAATTCTTGTATTCACTTAGAACTCTTACGTAATTTCGTATTATCTACCTTGTTCCTATGTTCATCCTGAGTAAAACTCACTCATCAAACTATTCATATTATTACGTAACTTCTTTTAACAACTGTTTGTGACAACTCATCACCTTTGTTACTACTCTAATTTCATTAACACCTAATTTTTCTTGACTGATTTTGTATTACGTAACTCCAATCTTCAACTGTTTAGTTTAAACTTATTGTACACATACATACAAAATAACACATATATATTTGCGATTGTACAGCTAAGAAAATGAATTCGCCGAAAAGAGACTCCTCGCTGATCTACATGTTTTGTTTTCATCAATGCCTGGATGGGGATTATACATGAATATCGTCCAATACTCAATTTTTTATCACACGTATATTGAATCATTCGTTTCAGAGTGTGACTAAGAGCTGCTCCATTGATGGGTTGCATATGGCAATGACTTAAAGAGCTACACTGACTGGAAATAATGTGCCTGCAGCATGTCCTATCATGCTTTAAAGGTTGTTTGGGTAGCGATTAGACTAAAAGCAATTACTCCGAATTGATGTAAAATGGTTGGAGGTAATCTGCAAAAAGCCTAGGACCTAGGTGAGCTAAGATGGTTATTATAAATATTCCTCAGATATAATTAGCTAGAAGCTTATACTGGATTTTCCACCTCTTCATATAAGTGAGTCATCAATGAGTTTATTGACATTAGCTCTTCAATTTATGTTGAGTGTTATTATACTTACCCTTCAGAATAGCCACACATTTAATGAGTGAAGTTTGTATAATTAATCCCTGAGATTTAGTTTCATTGTAAAGACACCATGCCATTTTCATAAGTAGTCCTAATATGCTTTACTTAGTTGAGTAGTTTTAGTTACTAGTTTTTGATGCTAATGTGTGGTGAGAATTGTTTGAATCAATTTCATTTTGCATAATTATTTATGTTCCATGTTTATTTATTTCCTACTATCGCCAATGATTTTCTTGATTGCAGTAGATTGGATAATGCGACAAACAGCGGGCAATGAGGAAACAGGCATAAAATGGACTCACACAAAAAACTTGGAGGATCTGGACTTCACCGATGATATATGTTTGATTTCCCACAAACTGGAAGATATGCAAGCGAAAAGCAACAAGTTATCAGAAGAAGCATCAAAGATAGGACTTCAGGTGAACATAGATAAAACAGAGGTGATGAAAATTCCCGGGCAACACCACCAACAGCAACAACAACAACTGACAACAATCAGCATAAATGGGAGGAACCTGAAAGAAACAACTTCTTTTACCTACCTGGGAAGCATCGTTTCAACTACAGGCTGACGGAACTGACGAGGATATCAAAGCAAGAATCGGAAAAGCAAGACAAGCTTTCACTACTCTCAAGTCTGTGTGGAGGTCAACAACACTCAGAATCAAAAATAAGATCCGGATTTTCAACTCCAATGTGAAGTCAGTGCTACTATACGGATCAGAGACTTGCACTGCGCGTCATAAAGAGCATCTCAAACAAACTACAGACCTTCATTAACAGTTGTCTTCGCTCAATACTCAAGATCAGATGGGTGGCCAGAAAAGATCACCAACCAGAAACCGATTGTGAAACAAATAGGCAGGAAGAAATGGCGATGGATTGGCCATACTCTGAGGAAACAATGCATCAAGTGACATCACTAGACAAACCCTCGAGTTGAACCCGAAAGGGAAGCGGCGAGTTGGTCGTCAGTGCAAGGGTGACTTGAAGGAGGTCATGTGAAGAGGAGATGAAAACGTGTGGGCAGACATGGAGCCAGGTGAAAACTCTAGCAGAGAACCAAAGGCAATGGAGACGGTTGGCTGAAGCCCTATGTTCCTCTAGGAATTAAAGGATACAATAATAATAATAATTTCCCCCTCTCAACCCACTAACAGCCACATATATAGGAAGATAGGGAAGGCTTTTTAATCCTTTAGAATTCTACTTATTTCTATTTGTGTACGTCTCAGAATCAATATGAAGAGATAAAAGAATCATGGATTCACTCATGAAGTACCGGAATACAGAAAATATCGTGTGAAAACACTTTTTTCTATCTAAACGGAAATTACCAGGTTAGTTGGTAATAAAATGTTATTTTTAAAAAGTCAACTTGTTTTATTATTATATGAGCAAGAAAAATATTTAAGTGTAAACACATGGCATGTACGAGCATTTTTATAGAAATGGGTATGAATATACGATTGGGTTACTGTTCTGATAACAGGTGGGCTCTAACAAATAATTAATGGCGGATTTGATGAGTACTGTACGATAGAAGATTAGTAATAAACAAAATTTCCCTTCTGACCTGATATCTCTGTTATGATAACAAAAAACAATCCTGGGAGTACCGGAAAGCTGTTTCGTCCTAGTTTGGGACTCACTGAGGTTCGAACCCACGAGCTCGTAGACCATTAAGCCACTGGGACCCGATCCAATGGCTATCCCGTGAATTCCAACTCCCACCAATTCATGCTATGGCGCGACCACTGGAGAAGGTCATTCTTGGTAAGTGTTTGTCCTCACACCTGACCTGCAGTATCCCACTGGTCACGAATTCCCACTAGAACCCAGGTAACTACCTACCTGAATAGAGCCAGTCACTAGTGAGCATCAGATTAATATATAAGTGTTGGTTTGCAGGGATCTGATCGGTTCCAGCATTTCATCATGAACTGACTTCGGTTAGACGACAACTGGAAAATCTGAGAGTACTGCCACACAGCTGTTTTATCTCACTAGTTTGGGACTCTTCATAAGTACACACCCACTGCCAGGGTTCGAACCCACGACCTTCTGGTTACCAATGTCAGTTCATGATGAAATCCTGAAAGCAATCAAATTGGACATTTCGACATTTAGGCTGCAGTTTTCTGAGTCTCAATATTTATCTACTGGTGATTAATCAATAACGCGTAATAATTGTCAATATTTTGTCTTTTTGTTTTGTTTTAATGATGATTTACAAACGTATTTAGCAGAGATTTGTGTACAAGCATGGTAGAAAACAATTCCACTTGATGTAAAAACACACAGTTTCATAGCTATATAGAATGTTAAAGACGCATTTCCGCTCAACAGAGCAGTAAAACCAGACTTAAAAATGGGATGACAAAATATTACGTAGTAAGACGAAAAAAATGATTCTAAGAATGTAAGAAAAGCTGGAGATAGAGTAAAACTGATTACCAGTTGAAAAGAAGTAACTCTATAGACATACTTAAATAAAGATATAGGGCTGAAAGTCAAGCAGCGTTTTTACTTTTGCTGTACAAATTATTTAGAAAGCCAAAGGATTGAGCGAAGATCCTCATCTCTGGCTCTACAATAAACAGCAATTTAACAATCTCGTGGCGATATGCTTGTTAATAAGACAACACTCTATACTATAGAGCTAGGAGATTATGCTCTATAGAGAAATTAGTGGAGGAATGTATTTATGTTTCTCGAAAAGATGCTGAAAAGCAGCGGTTACCCTCAAAGATTCATTAACAAGTACGGAAGATATGAAGTCTCAAATGTCAAACAAATATCACAGTGAAGAAAAAGCCCATCTACATTCAACGTGATTATAAAGGTGAAAATTTCACAACAATTGTCAACAGAAGATTGAGAACATCACTAGCCAGAGCCTATCCTGCAGCTAAGCTCGTTCCTGTCTACCGAACAACTTGCTCTTTAATGCAATCAAAAATCGATAGATATCCTTCTCATGTTAACTCCAACTGTATATACAAATTTACATGTATCTGCGGGAGCAGTTACATTGGAAGAACAGAAAGAAGGGCATATCTACGATTTTCTGAACATGTACCGAAAAGCTTATGTCTAAAGAGAACAAATGCTTTAAACAGTGCCATCGCCAGGCATCTCCTTGACACGGATCATGAGGTGGACGTCGCAAGATCGTTCAAAATTATCAATAGGCAAAAGAGTTCAATTCTCCTCAAGTTTGCTGAAGCCATCTCCATCAAGCGCCTGAAACCTGATTTGTGCGTTCAGAAAGAAGCAGTTATCAGTCTTTCTTTGCCCTGGTAACTGAATATTTTCACCTCTCTTTCATCTGATTACGTAATGTCGAAAGTTTCCATTGTGTATGATCATCATTGTTCGGAATAGTGTTTAATATTACATATATATACATATTATTACTCTATGCTTATATTGATCGATTGATTTTTTGTTCAAAATGAACTCTGTGCAAGTATGTTAAAATTGTTTCTGCAGATATATTTAATAATGACTTTGGTCTGTAAGCAGCTGATGAGAGGCCAACGAAATAAATGATGGTGCCATTTTATTCTTCAGAAACTGTTGTTCTTGCTTTATTCAAATTCATTAAGGGGAATAAATGTGTGAAATAATTAGTCAGTGTCAAGATGTCACGGTAGAAATGGCTACAACAAGTGGATTGCATAATGTATAATTTTGGAAAAGTGAAGGGCAATTAAGCAATAGGCGAGTACTCAAGTTTAATACAAATTATTACTGAAATTGGAAATGCCACAGGAAATAATCTCTGCTTACTTGTAATGTAGATTTATAAACTTGAACTCATATTATCCTTGTAATGCTGAGAAAAAGTTTACTGTTTTTTAGCTGAATAACTAAC